AACATTGTTCCTAATGACCTTCTAAGTATAGCTAAGTTGTTTAAAAATATATTTAGCCATACTACACATTGGTCACACAAGAATCAAGCACTGAATGTACTGAAACAATGAAAAACAATTGAAATGTTACTTTTGTTTCATAGTCATGTTTCACATGTTTCATGATCTTGTTGCATCGTACTAACTAGCTATGTTCCACTAAAGTGAGTTGCACATGTTGTACTTGGGTGCTGCACACTATTCATTTCATAAAAAAAGCAACACTCATGAAATATACAGCACTAGGGGTGTTATAGCCCTCCCCCCTTATAAGAATCTCGTCCCGAGATTTAGAGTTACGAACCATTTGTTATAAAAATCCTTATAAGCGTTTTGTAGATATTCTCCTGTTTCCCACGTCGCATCACCATCATCGTGATGACTCCACTGTATCTTATAGGTTCTCACCACTTTATTCTGAGTGACTCGGTCCTTAGTGTCCAAAACTCGAACCAGTTGCTCATGGTATTCCGAGTCTGATTTGAGCTGAATTCTCTGAGGTTCTATTCTCTCTTCCGGAATACGCAAGCACTTCTTCAATTGTGATACATGGAAGACTGGGAAGATCGAACCCATCGCTTCTGGTAACTGTAACTTATAAGCCATGGGACCCTTCTTCTCTATGATCTCGTACGGTCCTACAAATCTAGAAGCAAGTTTTCTCTTTACTCCAAACCTTTGTACTTTCTTCATTGGAGTAACCTTCAGATAAACGTAGTCACCTACCTCAAACTCAAGCGGTCTCCTTCTCTTATCGGCATAACTCTTCTGGCGTGACTGTGCCACTTTCATGTTTTGTTGGATAATATGGACCTTTTCTCGACCTCGTCAATCAACAAAATCAATTCCGTAAAACCTTCTCTCTCCGTGCTCAACCCAATTCAATGGTGTCCTACATTTCACGCCATACAATGCTTCAAATGGAGCCATCTTGATACTTTCTTGGTAATCGTTGTTGTGTTTAACTCTGCTAAAGGTAACCATGATTCCCACGGACCCCTAGACGATAACACACAAGCTCTAAGCATATCTTCTAGAACAACATTAACTCGCCTCATTTGCCCATCCGCATGGGTGGTAAGTCAGACTCGAGTCAAGCTAGTACCCAAACCTTTATGAAGATGCTCCCAAAAATGAGCGGTAAATTGTGACCCACGGTCAGACACGATAGTCTTTGATATACCATGTAAGCGGACAATCTCTACAATGTACTTCTCAGCATACTAAGGTGGTCGAAATGTTGTTTTGACTGGTAAAAAGTGAGCTGATTTGGTAAGGCGATCTACAATTACCCAAATCGAATCATTCCCCTTTGGTGTGGTGGGAAAACCAGTGATAAAATCCATACTTATATGATTCCATTTCCAATCTGGTATTGACAAGGGTTGCAACATTCCTGCGGGTCTCATATGAAGAGCTTTCACTCTACAACACATGTTGCAACGAGCAACATAAGCTGCAATCTCCTTCTTTATTTTCGTCCACTAATAACGAGGTCTCAATTCTTGGTACATTTTTCCACTTCCAGGATGGATAGACAACTTAGAGTGATGAGCTTCATCCATCAATTTGTTCTTGAGCTCTCGATCTTTAGGTACAACCAGACGGTCCTTAAACCATAACACTCCTTGTTCATCCACTCTAAAGTGCTTAGTCGGTTCTTTCTTCATTTTCTCCTTGATATGAAATATTCCCTTATTTGTTTTCTGACCCTCAATGATCTTGCTCTCCAAGGTACAGCTAACCTGGATATTATGCAACACACCAGGATGCAACAAATTGAACCCATCCTCAAACAATGGTTGCACAGCAAGAGAATGTGACTTCCTACTTAAGGCATCCGCTACTACATTTGCCTTTCCCGGATGATAGTGCACATTCAGATTATAATCCTTTATCAGCTCTAACCATCTTCTCTGTCGCATATTCAACTCGGACTGAGTAAATATGTACTTGAGACTCTTATGACCTGTAAAGATATTGCACACATTCCCAAGCAAGTAGTGTCTCCAAATCTTTAGAGCATGCACAACAGCCGCAAGCTATAAATCATGCGTAGGATAGTTAACCTCATGCTTCCTCAACTGACATGAGGCATAAGCAATAACTCTTCCATCTTGCATCATGACACATCCTAAACCATTCTTTGATGCATCGCAAAACACATCAAATGGCTTCTCTATATCTGGTTGTGCCAGGACAGGAGCAGTGGTTAGCAATTTCTGCAAGGTGCAGAAAGCTGCCTCACACTCCTCTGTCCAAACGAACTTATGATTCTTTTGTAGCAAACTTGTCATCGGCTTGACAATCTTTGAGAAGTCCGGGATAAAACGACGATAGTAACAGGCTAATCCAAGAAAACTCCGAACCTCATGAACTGTGCTTGGTGCCTTCCAGTCCATAACCTCTTGTACCTTACTAGGATCCACTGAGATTCCATTCTCAGATAACACATGACCAAGAAAAGGAATTGTCTTCAGCCAGAACTCACATTTACTAAACTTAGCATACAGCTGGTGATCTCTGAGCCTAGTCAAGACAATTCTTAGGTGCTCTGCATGATCCTGTTCGTTCTCAGAGTATACTAGAATGTCATCAATGAACACAATCATGAACTGATCCAAGTCCGGCATAAAGACCGAATTCATCAAATACATAAAGTATGCAGGAGCATTTGTCAAACCAAAGGACATGACAAGATACTCGTACAAACCATATCTGGTGGAGAACGTGGTTTTGGGTATATCTTGTGGTCTAATTTTGATCTGATGGTACCCTGATCTCAAATCTATCTTGGAGAACACCTTAGCTTTTGACAATTGATCAAACAAGATATCAATCCGAGGCAGAGGATACTTGTTTTTAATTGTCACCACATTCAGTGGCCGGTAGTCCACGCACATTCGTAAGGAGTTATCCTTCTTCTTCTTCATGAACAGTGCGGGACATCCCCATTCCGATGAACTTGGCCGAATTAAACCCTTAGTCAACAGATCCTGGAGTTGTTTCTTCAACTCGGCTAATTCATTTGGAGGCATCCGATAAGGCCTTCTTGAGATCGGTGGTGTTCCCAGGATTAACTCAATGGCAAACTCAACATCTCGGTCCGGTGGAAGACTGGGTAACTCATCTGGAAACACGTAACTCGCACACTACTGGAATCTTGGCTAGAAGAGTAGTTTGGACTGCACAAGTTGTACTGGCCAGCTCTATTCTTCGGGGTAAGGTTACTTGAAATGTACCTTCTCCAACAGGTTCCTTGAGAGAGATGCTTCTTCCTTCAACATCAATTACTACTCCCATCTTATTCATCCAGTTCATTCCTATGATCACATCCAGAACTAGCCCTAGCAAAACTATCAAGTTAAGTTTATACTGCCTGTTTGCTATACACAGGGTTACCCCCTGGATTATCTGATTAGTTAACAGATCAACCCTAGCTGAACTGATCCGATAAGCACATTCCAATTCAACTATCTTTTGCTCTTACTTTCTTGCAAATGCTTGACTTATGAATGAATGAGATGATCTAGAATCAAACAAAACGACTGTAGGATGATTGTTGATAGAAAACATACCGGCTGTCACGGGCTCTCCCTCCGGGATGTCATCAATGGTGGTGTGGTGCACACGAGCTTGGTACTGATTCTGCTGCTTCTTCGGATATGGGCAAAACTTCGCAAAGTGCCCAGGTTGATTGCAGTTGAAACACAGTCCTCTTACTTGAGTAGCAGCTCCAGATGAACTGCTTTGTCCGGTCTTGGCTTGTGGCACTGCCATCTTAAATGGCTTCTGATTCCTCTGAGGTTGATGGGCATTCTGATTCCTCCGTTGGGGTGGCCTGAACCTTGCACCAGGGGCAGGCGAACGATACGCAGAACGGCCATCGGGGCCCTTGGCTGGGACGGACCTGACTCAAAAGCCCTCTTGCGAGTCTTGGATGTAGCATATACATTGTTGTTCTTTTCTTGCTTTAAGCAATCACTAACAAAGTCATTGAAACCAGTTCTCGTGTTGGTACCCACGTGCTTCATCATCTTGGGATTCAGACCTCTCTTGAAACTAGCGATCTTTTTGGCATCGGTATTCACCATATCAGAGGCATAGCGACTTAGATTATTGAATGCATGTAGATACTGGGTCACAGTCTTGGTGCCTTGGGCCAGTGCGAGAAATTCTCCAAACTTCATTTCTGTCAAACCAGGTGGAATGTAAACTCCACGAAAAGCCTCAGTGAATTCCCTCCAAGTAATGTGGGCATTAGGGGGAAAAGTGGTGCGGTGGTGCTTCCACCACATTCCTGTAGGGCCTTGTAGCTGATGAGCTGCATACTCAGTTTTCAATACTTCTGTCATCCTTAGAACACGAAACTTATCTTCCATGGTGTTTATCCACTCTTCTTTCGTCGAGACGGAATGGCGGATCCGGTGGTGAGGGCTCGCCCGAATCCCACGCCCGGCTCAACTCTTTTCACCTTGGCGAAAAGAGCGACCCCACTTAAGTATGCGTGGCCAGGGCGTGGTTCCGGCTTGAGCTATTCGCTCGGGCGAATAGTAGTTAATGGTTCGTTTAGTCGGTTTTGCAGGTTTCGCCAATGGAGGGGTTGGCCGCCTTTGCGTGGCCGACAACTTCTGTCCGCCAGGGGCCCACTCGGTCGGTCGCGGAAGCGACATGAGGCTGGGCTGGTCGGCTCTCCTCTAGCCGGCGCTACGCAGGGCAGGCGGGGACTCCGAATGGCGAGCAAGCCCACAACGGTAAGGAATATTCCCCGAATGTGTAGTAGTTGTGAGGGCAATTTTTGTCCCACGAAAAGCCTATGGACGTGTATAAATAGCCCCCATCAGGGAAATATAAAAATAGGAGGCACAAGATCAATAAAATCGTCCATCTTATTTGGCTTGTGTTTTTCCTTTCGACTCATACGACAACCAGGTGTTTGAAGGCTTTGGCCTTGAACAACAATGTCGATGGACGGACAGCTGCTTAAAGCAGCCGTAACTGGTGATGGCAGGCAAATGAAGCACCTGGCTTCTCAGGATCCCGCGGCGCTGCTTGGAACCACGCCACAGGGGAATACATGCCTCCACATCGCCGCTATCCATGGCCACGACGTGTTCTGCAAGGACGCCGTGGCACTGAACCCGTCGCTCCTCGCTGCCGTCAACTCTGACGGCGAGACCCCTCTGCTCGCTGCCGTGGCAAGCGGCCGTGTTTCTGTAGCTTCTGTTTTGCTCAGGTGCTACCGTGATGGGCAGCAGAGCCATGCGATGTTGAAGCAAGACAAGCTTGGATTCAACGCTCTGCACCACGCCATACGCAGTGGACATAGGGAGCTCGCACTGGAGCTGATAGAAGCAGAGCCCGCCCTGGCGCATGCTGTGAACCTAGACGGTGAGTCACCCATGTTCATTGCGGTGATGAGAGATTATGAGGATGTCTTCAACAAACTGTTGGAGATTCCTAATTCTGCTCATGGGGGAGCCACGGGCTTCAATGCTCTGCATGCTGCCGTGAGAAACGGTAATTCAGGTGAGACCAGCTGAGTATCTGCCAAACTAATTAATTCTCTACAACCCCACCATTAACTGCTAGTACACAAACTATCATCATTCCATGGTTGATGACCGCGCTTACTGCCTTGATTTGCAGACATCGCTACAAAGATCATGCAGACACATCCTGCTCTGGGCTGGGAAGAAGACGAGGATAACAACACTCCAATGCAGCCAGCGGTACTTTGGGATAAGATTGACGTGGTAAGAGTATTGCTGGAACATGATCGGTCTTTAGGGTATGTAGTCCCATCACATTGTGTCCCTCTTCTTAATTCTGCTGCATTTAGAGGCCATGTTGGTGTTGCTCGAGAGCTTCTTAAACATTGTCCAGATGCTCCCTTCTGCAATTCAAATCGCCGGACATGTCTGCATACAGCTGTAATAGCTGAACATACAGAATTTGTAGAATTTATCCTGGATTCACCACAACTCCGTAGACTCGTTAATATGCGAGATTTATACGGAGATACTGCTCTTCATTGCGCAGTCGAAATGTGCAATCCGAAAATGGTGGCTGCTGTACTTCGTCACCAAGACATCGATGTCACTGTGCTCAACAACAGCAGTAACCCAGCAAGCTGGAAACTATCTGCTGCCACCGACACTGCCAAGACTTTAAACTGGGTACGCATGCTTTTCTCAGTACGTTCATCCACTAAATAAGTAAGCATATGTAATATGAGAATCTTCTTCACTGCGATATTGCTTCCTACCATCCATATGCACTTCTGGAATTTGACAAACTAAGCATGAACAGTCCATGGCAGTTAGCAGTGTGCAAACAACGATGACATTAAAGAAACTACTGCTAAATGATTATTTTGACTTCAGCAATGGTGATAACTAAATTTTTAGTTTGCTATTTCTTTATGATAGCTTTTTAGTTTGCTATGGTAGTTCATATTATGAAACAATTTTACATGTTACCAAAAATGGTTGCATCCCTTTTACGGAAAAAATAATGAGAAGTCCAGATGAAAGTCGATACAAATGCAAAACAGATTGTGAAACCAGGAATGAATTCAATGCCATTAAGCATGTTGTAACAATGTTGGCTTCTTTTTCTAAAAGGCAATTGTAGCATTGTAGACCTGAAGGAACAGCTAGCTCGGAGAAAAGATAGTTGCACCAATGCAACCTCCTAATTGCTGGTTTTCATTTTTTACCCCTTGAGTATTATATTAACTACTGAAAGCTCCATTTGCATATTTCTTTGACTTTATGCAGAATGAAGTGTCCATGCTTATGTCAAAAGCTGATCCTCGATACACAATATATAATCTCCACAAGCAAGTGAAGACTAAAGTGACAAACTTCTCAGGGAAGGATATCAAGGCATTGACTCAAACATACACAAGCAACACTTCTCTAGTGGCAATCCTTATGGCGACGATTACCTTTGCCGCTGCTTTCACTTTGCCAGGAGGATATAGCACAGACGCTGGAAATGAAGGACTTCCCATCATGACCAGAAAGCTTGCATTTCAGGCGTTCTTGATCTCTGATACCTTGGCAATGTGCTCCTCACTTCTTGTTGCCTTTGTATGCATCATAGCAAGGTGGGAGGATCTTGAGTTCTTGCTTTATTATAGGTCTTTTACAAAGAAGCTCATGTGGTTCGCGTACATGGCAACCACCATAGCATTTGCAACTGGTTTATACACAATTCTGGCTCTTCGTCTCCTATGGTTGGCCATTGCAATTTGTGTTGTGTCAGTTTCATTGCCAATTCTTACTAAACTTCTTGGTGAGTGGCCTGTCTTAAAGCTCAGGTTGCGGCTGGGTCATCAAACATTCAAGCCTGAGTTCCTTAATATGGTTTGACATGTCCCATCTATACTCCGATCCATATGTGTTCATTTTGTTTCAAACAATAGGATAGGATGTATGTTATGTATTGTGGGGAATGAATATATATGGTGTGTGATAATGGTAATTTGGAACGCCGCTGGAATCCCAAAATATGTAATTTGGACATCACTTATACATGTCAAGCTTTAGCTTTTTTTCAACATGAGGAAACCCTATTTCCATTAACTTGTAACGGAAATACAGATTGTTCGTGCCAGAAGAAAGAGAACGCAACCAACCTATCACCGAAACGTTCAACCATCAAAGCAACAGAAAGAACCTAGCCTTAGACGTCCATCAGAATTGTGGAGGGTGATGAGCTCAAAACTGCTTTCAAAACTCATAGTGGGTTATATGAGTTCACAGTAATGCCATTTGGGATCACAAATGCCCCTAAACTACTACAGATTGAGCTACCATTGTCTTCACTTTCACTGTCGTAGAAGACATAAGCGACGGTGTGATACTTCCACCATCGGTTGGATCGATTTCAAAGCCTCATAAGGAATCAAACCGGTAGTTGAAACTTCTAGCACCGATGGTTGAACCATCAATACGGCGGTGCTGGTGGGGTTGAATTTCACTGTCGTTTGGAAAGCCAAGCCGACTGAGATACGTGTTATGGAGCCCGGCCCTACACGACCGTTTGGTCTACCGGTGGTAAATTCAGCGTGAGTGTTGAATGTCCCAACTTCCAGCACCGTCTCACCACTTCTGTCGGGAACCGTCGTATACCTCGTCTTCCCTGATGTGTATGCCTATATCACGTTTCTTAACTGCTCTATTCCGCTTCTCCACCATCTTGAAGGTTGGCCTATTTAAGCCGGGTCTGGGTGCATCTCTTGGCCTCATTCCACACACTCTTCCTCCTTCAATCTCTTTTAGAATAGATACAAATTGGCAAAGCTCTTGAGCCAACCATCATTTTTTCTTCATCGCCATGGCGCTCATTGTCCAATTCCTCCGACGACAGCAGCGGCATTGGGAGAAGGCCTTCAAGATTGGGTACAATCTGCATCAAGGTGCAGCGAGGGCTGTTCGATCTAGGTGCTAGTGGAAGTTTTGCGATTAAAGGGTCGCTTATTTGGGCAAGCTAGGGGTACTGAATGCACTTTGGTATCCGTGGTTTCACATTACTGGGCTTCGTCATTGGGGCTGCTGGAATGCCAGTGGTGGCTCCTATGATGGCTCCAATGAGCGTAGGGCCGCTAGGAAGGTAATGTCTATATATACAGTTGCCACCTTTCTGCCCTGTGCAGCCCAGCTACTGCCGGTTCATCACTCCGACGCCCTGGCAATCCTCCTTCCTCTGGAGCAGCAACGATGACGACGGCGGTGCTTCTCGGCGGTGCTTCTCTTCCATGCCTATGCTTGCCTCTCTACCATGAGAGGTGCAGCAAGGAAGTTAAAGCACCTCCCTGAGATGCTGGTGAAAGTTTTGCGAGGTGTTGCCTCGTCCTTGCTCTCCTTGTCTACGCCCTATTAGGTCATTAGGGTGCTCAACAGGAGAGCACCTTGATGATCACAGATCTTCGGTTAGGCTCCAAACTCTTCTATGGGTTGTACCTGTACTCGACAGGTCTTTGTTATTGCACACTCAGTAGTCTTTGACAGGTCTTTGTTATTGTACAACTTGTGGAATGTAACTGAAGTTATCCATGAAAATTTTCCTCAGGAGGCTGTGATGTTTGTTACTGTGTCATTTATATATAGTTTTTGCCTTAAAAATAATTAATAACTGAATGATTGTGATGCTTGTTACTCTATTTTTTAAGTGTCGTAGTATTTGTTAATAACTGAATGACTGTGATGCTTGTTACTCTATTTTTTAAGTATCGTAGTATTTGTCGTGGCTACACATACGTGAGATAAAGCACCTCACTAAGACGGTGTTGGGGTTCAAGTTTGCGAGGTGCTCCTTCTTCAAGATTGGGTGGTTTATATTCCATCTTACAGCTCTCACGGTCAAGAAGCAGATCTGCATATCTCCTCCCACAAGAAAACGGAACTAAACAAGAAAGAAAGATACTAACAACGAAGAGATTCATACGTCGATACAGTTACGGATGCACACATAATAAGAAAACTAAAATGATAATAAATCAATGGGCGTGCATCATAATTAAGCAAATTCTCACTATCATAATAATTAACATAACATAATTAAGATAATTACATGTCTACTACTCATACTCCCTTCTTGTCAGCCACCTCCTTGGAGGCGGCCTTTAGGGTGCCCGGCAGTTTGTCCAGGTTATCGGCGAGTAGGTGAAAAACATAGGTGTAATTGGGCACTTTCTCCTCTGCATCCTGATGACGCTGCCCAGACCGAGCTCCATTAGCACAGCGTTCATCCTCCAGTAATTCTTCTGGAAGAGGCTAAGTGCCCATGCGTCGCCACATCCAAAGGGATTGAACGGATCTTCGTTGATGCCATCGAGCACGGCTTCATCCTCTGATTCATCCGTCAATGCGCGCACGGATTCATCCTCCGATTCGTCCGTCCGTGCGCGCTTGGCTTCTGACACAGATTCCTCCTCCATCCGTGTGCGCTTGGCAGAAGGCTCAGCCATTGCGGTTGCTGTGCAAATGCAATTCGTATCTGAGGGTGTGAGAAGGCAAGCGTAGAGGTGGTTTGGATCAAAAGCGTAGGGGGGCCGTTCCTTGCGCTAAATAATAGGCTAGCGGTTTGCCACTTTGTTTCCCCCGAACCATTTGATTAGCGCTAGAGGCTGAGCTGCGTGCTCTAGTCAATTTTCTCCATCCCACTCTCAACACCGTTCCATGCGAGGAGTATGTGGCGGTTGGACTGAATTCGTGCGGGTTTGCTGGCCCCACTCGGCTTTACCAGTAGCTTCTTGCGGGCTGCGGGAAATGTCCATTTTTTCTCTCTCTCTCCTACAGCAGACGCTTCGCGACGGCCGCGCCGCTCCTGCTCTGCTTCTGCTTGCGTTTCCCCCGTCTACGGCCGTCTACGCCTCGGTCTCCCCGCCGCAGGCGCTCCGCCAGGCCCTCCCCGCCGCCGCGGCCGCCGCCGAGGGGCTCCGCTCCGGCACCCGCCTCTTCTCCCCGTGGTTGCTCCCGTCTCCGTACCAAGGTCCGTTTTCACCTCTTATTCTTCTTCTTCTTCAGTCTGGGCCGTCGGGGAGACGGTCTTTTGCCGCGTGGCGGAGTAGAGACTCGAGAGTGGTTGCCCGTCCAAGGGGTTTTGGGTTCGGAGATTTTGGAATGTCACTCGATTGGGCCTGAGTCTGCGTCTCGGCTAGACCTCCGTCTGATTGTCTGGGATGGTGTGGTGAGTGTCTGGATTCAGGTAGACCATACTGCGTACGGCACTATGCGCATTGGCGGGTCTTGTTAGTTCAATTCAGTAGAGGTACCTGAGGTTGGACTCTGAGCTTTTCAGCCGTACTTAACTGAACTACTGATAGTCAGTGGACCAATGTATGTCGAGACGAACACGCTTTGTAATGTACAAGGGCATGTCATGAAAAGTTGCATGTGTTGGATCATGTAGATAGGTGGCAATTTCTAAATATCATATCATCAGCCTGCTTGCAGGGTCTTAGCTTGAGTCCGGGCAATAATCCTTTTCAAAATATGATAAACTTTTGAGTTACCTATGTGCATCATAGTTACAGTTGACAGTTAAGGATGGTCAAAACTGACGAAGATATGATCGGGAATGATTGTAGTTAGAACCTTTAATATGTCCTTAATTATTAACTCTGATGAGACTGAAGTGCATTTTTGCTTTACCTGAAACTGCAGTTGCCTTGTTAGTTGTTATCTTCGTCTTGGTAAGATAGATCTCTGTGTTGAAGATCTTACTGTGTCCAAATGTGTTTCTAGGGTTCCCTATACTAAATACCTTCGCGTCTGCATCGGTTTCACCTGATGACCACAGAGACCAAGGTTCTGACGGAAGCTCAGGTGATTCAAGATGCTGCCCAGGGTGTCTAGGCAGGAATTCGATTGCCAAGGCGGCATCTGCAGTTGGTCCTGCTGTTGTAAACATTTCTTCTATGCATGGTGAGAACATTCTCGTCTAATGGAAAACTGTCAAATTCAATTCCTCACCAGTGTTGTAGCTGTGTGCACTGAACTTTTCAAATCACCTTTTTTGTAGATATGCATGGATGGGTGCAAGAGCAGAGCATCGGATCTGGAACTATAATAGATCCAGATGGGACAATATTCACATGTGCGCATGTTGTTGCAGATTTCCAAAGCACAAAAGCAATTGTGAGGAGAAAGGTTGCTAACTTGGCACTATGCTGACTGTGTAAATACCGTCAACCGCTTATCATTGGTCATGTGGACAATGTGAAGCGTGCATTTGGATTGTTGTTTGAAGAACCATTTGTGTCAATTTGGTAGCTCGTTCTTTGCTAAATTTCAGACACTAGTTCTGATTTCTGAAGGGTTGATTTAACTCCATATAAGTAAGTTTTGATGCTTTTGTATTTATCCTTGGAGAGAAGAGTTTGGCAGTAGTGGATGCTAATATTCTGTATTTCGTACCTAGTTAGGACAGTTTTGGTCTTGATTTGTTTCAAAATTGTCTCTTAATTTTGTAATTGAGTTAACTTAATGTCCTTAATCCTTTTACCTTTCTTTTAAGCTGAGATTAACCAACAATAGTTTATCTACTAAGTACTAGGGTTAATGTTCTAAACTTAGTGACCCAATCCTCCAAGCTATAGCAGCATGGATAATTACAACACTTGCTACATAGCATGATATGTATCTGTGCTTGCTGCTTGAAATCACTGATTATGATTTCGTTGAGGTTATTATGTTTTACACTACTGTTTCCTTCATCATCTTTCTCTTAGAAGGTTGAATGTTGTTACAGGTTAGTGTGACTTTACAAGATGGTCGTGAATTTGAAGGTGTTGTCCTTAATGCTGACCGCCTGTCTGACATTGCCGTTGTGAAGATTAAATCTATGACCCCTTTACCGGCTGCCA